TACAGGCGATGGAAGCTGGAAGCAGTGGATGAAGGGAGGCCATTCAAAAAGCTCTAGACAGACTTGAGTTGACAAGATTCAGGCAGAATTTAGCAGGGAGGAAAGTAATCTGTGTCAGAAACACGGAGGAGACCTGGCTTTGCAGTAGTCCATGTGGAAGGGATCTGGGTGCCTGGTCATCCACAAACGACAGCCAGGAGCCTGATGCAACTTCAGAAAAGGCTTGGGGTGCGTTAATAGGAGCGCAGAATTCAGATCAGTTACACTTTCTCATCCTTAGCTCCTCCCCTTCAGAAAGGTAATTTCTGCCAAGGCAGAAGATAGGGTTCCATGATCTAGGCAGGTGGCTTTCTCCATGAGGGTTCCTGCCTGCTGATCTTGCCCCTCTAAGGCCACAAACAGCCCAACACTGAGAGAAATCTTGACGTCCCAAAGGAATGTATGAATCCAGCGACTTTCTCTCATGCCAAACTTTATATTTAATGCTTCTAAGGCTGCAGGCAATCTGTTTTCCCAAGGGAGCAGAAGACTGCAGGAGAGGGTCCTTCCACCTCAGGAGTTGCAAAGCTTTCTGCAGCTCCCCTCACCCCAAAGATCTCCCTAGCTGGAGGAGGAAGGATAAGAGCAGGACAGACGGTAAGGAAGGAGTGTGCCCGTCACCAGGAACCTTTTGGTCTCGGGACTCCTGGAAGCAGACTAGCTTCGCATTCAGAATGCTAGAACTGTCATCGTTATTGCACCTAAGGCTTTCCAGTGATTCTGAACCACGCAAGTCTCCTCTCACATGGATAGCGCATCTAAAGGAGTCCATATTTTCCTTTGGATGCACGGGCACGAACTCTACATGTCCGCTTAGTGAATTTTACAGCTTAAATAAAGGAAGCGAAACAGAGAACGGAGCGAACAGCTTTGGAAAGACAGGCTATCAGTCCACAGAGACACGATCAGCTGCTTTGCCCACGTGAAGCACAAATCTCTGAGCTTGGAGGGGAGGCCACTTGGAGGGTTATTTTAGCGGATATTTGTCTCCCTTGAGGAAGAAAGCCCTAGAACTGATCTATAAACAACAGGATTTTGCTTTTCGTGCACGTTTTACACATTTTCTTTACAGCAGCCCTCTGAGTCAATCGGCACGGCCATGACCAAATTTAGGGCTTGCTGATCACATCCTCAGCTCCGGATGAGGGCACTTGATATGCTACGTCCTCCAATGACATCATCCTCACCCCCAT